ATAGCTTCACTTGACTTTGGAAGTTTAGGAATAACTTCACTTTTCTTTTAGGAGATTGGATATCTTCTTTTGATTTTGGAACTAAAGGAATTGTCCTAGTTTTCTTGATTTATTAATAAACTTGGATTCTAAGCAAACCATATTTCTTGGAAAACACTTTGTGACATTGTTTAAAGGATTCTTGGTGAAGCTTTTCTTGAATATTTCTTTATTATAAATCATTTCTTTAATTTTTTCTTTGGGAATTGTCCTTTTAAAAGAAATTTTACTTGAACACATCGGTCAAATATAGATTTGATCACAATACCTTTTATTTGGAAAGATAAATGGTATATTAGATAGGTTTTTAAACAAATTTAATATTCAGAAATAGGATTCTAATAAATTTTTAATCTAGATTCATTGTCTAATAGTTATCAAAATATTAAATCTGAATTGATACAAAGATTGATAAATAATTATTAAATTATTAATTTAATTATATTCTATTCTAATAATCAAGGACTTTAAATTTTAAATAATCGATTAAATATTAATTCAATTTCTAAACTAGATCAATTTTTGATTGACAAGTTATATTGATTTTTAAACAATACTTATAATATTCATGAAACAATCATTAATGGATCTGAATATTTTCAGATAGACTATTGTATCTGAAAAAAATAAACTTAGAGATATCTATTAAAATATTATATCTATTAGTCAAATACTATAAAGCATTTTATGAAACTATGGACTTTAGAAGATTATTTATGAAAGATAATGAAAATTTGATAATTATTTAGAATAAAATAGATCAATATAATAAAAGCTAAATAGAAGTGAAATATTTGATTTTGTTATATTCTCATGAAATATTAAGGATTTATTTATATTAATTTGATTCATAAGTTACAATGGAAGTATTGATTTATATTTGGAACAAATTTAATTCTTCTATATATATTTAATAAACTTTTCAAATAAGATTATTGAACATTGATTAATCTTTATTCAATAGTATAAACTGGTTAATTCGATAAAAAATAAATTTTATTTTAGATCTAAAAATAATGTGAATATTAAATTATAAAATATTGAATTTTATTCAGTTAAATATGAATATATAATTAATTCTTATTCATAATATTTTGGACTGATTTATTCTATTTAAATATAGACTCTTAAATCAGCAAGACTCTTGTAAATATTTTTATTTTTTTTTTTTTGCGAATAGCATTAAGTATATGACTTTATTAAACAATTAAGTTATTAATCAACACTAATAATCATTACATAAATAATTATAGCTAACCACATGGGTAGACCCTTACAAACTCTGAAAACTCAAATTGAGAAAGAGAAAAAATGTAAATAATATCTAGCTACTAGTTTACTATTGACCAGTAAGGGTACTCGCTGAAGTAATGTGGTGATATATGTAACAGTTTGATTGTTAAAATTAGGTTTTTGTTGTACTGGACCTGGAAACCAGTTTGAGGCAAACTATAGGCTGTGGGTCTTTCCTTACTAGGGGCCATGATCCTAATAAGGTGTGATCATCTTGCGCCGATCTTTTGGAGGGGGTAAGACTCTTGTAAATATTTAACTATACTTTTTTAAAATTATAAATATAATATATAAAAAATTTAGAAAATATGTGAATTTTAACAAAATTGAAATTTTAATAAATATTTAATGATTTTTTGAGAAAAATTTTAATGAAATATATAGTAAAAATAGAGTAAATTATATAATAAATAATGTAAAATTATATAATAGGAATTGATTGATGATTTATTTATATTATTAATATATTGAACTATTTATTTTTTAATGAATGCTATATAGATGGCATTATACTGAATAAATATTTTTTGACTAGTGTAGTGTATACTAAATTTTTTATAAATTTATTGTCAATTTATTATTGACTTGATTTTATTAATTTTTTATAAATATTTTAAATGTCAAATAGTATTAATTAAAAAATATATTTATGAATAAATTTAATCAAATTTCTCAATAATTTAATTGTCAAATAATATAATTTTAATTGATAAAAATATTTTCAAATTTTCAATATTTTATTTTATTTTATTGAAGATAAATTATTTATGATTTGAGATTTTTTTATTATTAAATTAATAAAACAAGAAAATTAAGGAACTTTTTAATTATATCTTGCTTATATCCTTAAGTCTATATATCTTTATATTATAAATATAATTGTTTGATATTATATTATGGATTAAAGACTTTGAAAACTTTTTTGTACATTGTTATAAGCTTATCATCTATTTTCATTTGAGATACAATATGTATGTTGCATACAAAGTTTTATTCAAGAAATTAGATCTTTAAATACTGTATATCCAATTTTTTAATTTCTATAAAAATATAATATGATAAGATACAGTAAAATATTATGAATGGAATTTTACTTGATATAATTTTGCCAAATCGGAAATATCTCTAAACTATATTAAAGTTGATATGATTTATTTGAACAGAGGAAAATTAGGATTTTTTTTTAAAAAAAAAAAAAAAATTCCAATCTTATTTTGTTGATTTGTTCAAATATTTTATTAAATACGGTTTGTTTGTTGAATATTTGCCAATTCATGTCACAATAAATACAGTAAAAATAAATTAAGTTATATGAAATTTGAAAATTGTTTAGATTAATAAATTACCAGTTTTTCAGCCCCATGACTCACTGTACGTCACTTTCCTGGAAACCGCAAACACCTCGTAATCAACGATGTTAAAGTATTCATCGGATCTTTTAAGTCTTCTAATAGGACGTTCATAACAATCGGTTTGATTACTACAAGAACCTATTCTACCACGATTGTGAAACAAATGTAATTCGGAACATCCACCAAAATATGGGCCATAGCTATTTTGAAAGTTCGGGTGGCGGTATAAAACGGCCAAATTATGATCTCTGACTCTGCTGAGAATTGAATTCTGCAATTTTCCACTTTTTAATGAAAATATAAAACTATCATCTGTCGCTTTATAACCATTAGACGTTTGATCCCAAGTTAGAGGATTGTATCCACCTAGGATTTCACCTGTTCTTTCCACCTTCACAACAATGACCGTGAATGCATGTCCATGACTCATGTTCCAAAAGGTCTGCGGATCAAATCCATCCCGACTTCCTCTTAATATTAACTGGAATTCATACGGAATATCTGACGTCGGATACGTTATTGGATTACGATCGATCCATGACGAAATTTCCGCCGCATGCTCATCGCTCAGGATCGTCGATTTAATTCTTCTTTGCAACATCGGAGTGTTTGTTGACTTTCTTGCAGGTAAAATCAACGATTCAATTGGATCGTCAGGAGAAATCAAATTCATCATTATATCACACCAAAGTTGTTTTCCTAAAATCTTTCTATAGGGTAATAATTTTCTGGCAACATCATCAGTAGAAAGTTGAAAATAACGAATGTATGGCAAACATCGTTGAAGAGTTATCTTTAGGCTCATAAAATTCACCTCCGTCCATTCTTCAAGTTTTGAGGGCAAACCTGGATTTTGTGCGACTCCCCATTCAATAACTTTATCCCAAATCTTTATTTCTTCAATTTCTAGATCATTTCTCTTAAGAAGGGAAACTAATGCCGATTCATTGATGAAAATGAATTCACTAGAATCGAACATGATATTCGGGTATTTTACTATGATATCGATACAAAAATTTTCCAATCTTTTAAAGCGATCGACTTTGTTAAAGACCGATTTATATACAAGGAAAAAACTCGTGAGCAACCAGTGGGATTTTTCTTCGATAAAGAGTGTCTCCAGTTTCTCGGACAGCTCCTTAAACTCGAGCTCATCGGCGGATAACATCAAATCGAAAATGAGTCTATTATCCATATTTTCTAAATCTACATCCCCTCCGTATATGCACCTACAAAAAAACCGCACGTCACCATTGGTACTTTAAATTTAGGGCGTTTAATATATTGCCGGTAGAGGTTACATACTTGAGAATTATTTCGAAAGTATCTGCCGAAACATGAGGCATTACGATGGTCGCGAGGTGTTCTTCATTTGCAACGGTTTTGACTAGCTCCCTGCGAAAGTAGGATGACCTAAAGCGCAATATAACTGAATGTGCGGTAAACGATTTCATGTTTATTTCTGTGTCAACCTCAATGATGACATCGTAATCTTCCTTGCAGTTGAGTAGTTCGGTAAAGCTCTTATCCCAAAGCGCAAGACTCATTCTTTCCAAAACTGTGTACGATCAAGTTTTTCCGGACGCAATTTAAATCACCTAACAGGTTACGCGACTCGTAATTACACGTGACACTATACTCGTAAATTCACGCGAAAGTTCGTGTTATTGTCTCCATATATGGCAGTAATGGTGTCATGCCTGCTAAAAAATTTTATACTTAATCATGTTATAACACGTGATCACGCGTGATTCCATGCGTGGTTAATACACGTTGCTCGATCCTCGGTGGCAACACAAAATAGACCATGGCCACCTTTGAAAGGTAAATTCTGTTCCCTTAATTTGAACACACATTCTTAATCTCGATTCAACTTGAAACACCTAAAATCAATTGATTATTTAAGGGTAATTCTTACATTCATTGCGTAGTGCGGAATCCGAACAAATTCCGGTGTACGTATATGGCGGGATAAATGATGACTTGAGTTGGGAAGGATTCAAAGAGAGCATACATACTTTTGTTAACGCGGTACGTAATCATAAAAGTATTAATATTTATCATCTGAATTCGTATTTCTCGTGCTGATTACTTTTTTTTTTTTCCTCTAGATTGATTGGTCTCAATCATGGTTACGGGTCATACTTTCTTTTCACCTTTTGACCTTTATAACCTTGATCAAATTGAGAAACAATTCGAACGCTTTGGCCATCATAACTTTTAGTCTAAGTAAGATTCTCGCGAAAACGTTTTTTGGGTTTTTTTGGGGGGGGTTTTTTTTTTGTCATCCGTGATCGTGATTGATGAGATATCCCTCCATACAGTGATCCTGGTCACCCTCGCAAAAACAATAAATTTTATTGCACACAATCACTGGCAAGAATTTTCTACATACGATTACTTTGACGAGAGCGGATTTTTCATTTCCATGATATTCTCCTTCCCGATCTTAGTCAACACTATAGTGGGCATAGTAAGTGGATTCGATTGCGTTACTTTTATTTGGCATATTTGCGCGGAGTTATTTATTGATTTCCCTTCTTAGGTGCTGATACTAAATCAAGTGTTGCACTTACTCAAGAAAATGAAGATTTCTCAAATCAGGCAACAAGAGGCGAAATTGATCACGCCGGAGGGTGACGGCAAGAAATCATCAAGTGTTAGCAATAAGGACACAAGAGAATAATTATTCTACATTCATTGAGGTTTTATCAGTTGTTACATCCGATTTTCTCTCTATGGTATTTTCGACATGCTGCCTTATGGCTGACAAAGGATCATCTCTGAACGCAGAATGTTGCAACACTTTATGGAATCTTTGAATCTCGCTTGCGCTAATATTAAACATTAATCGTCAATTGTTGGTAATGTTAATAATAATGATGATGGAATAGAAGAAAATAAAACGTACGCAATGTTTTTTCTTGCTGCCTTCGTCCTAGCGGATGGTGGAGACTGCGAATTTGATTTCTTCACTTGAGATTGTGATTCTGAATTCTGACGAATATCAATAGCTTGAATACTATCCTTCAACGAAGCCGTACTGAACATTAACGTTTCCTCGACGTCCATTCGTTGTGACTTTTTCTTTTTCTTGGTCTTGGTCTTTTTTATGACATCAGGTGGATTCGAAAGATTGAACTCTTTGTGTCCGTGCAAAAAAAAAAATGAAAAATTTTGCTAGAACAAATTAAAATAAATGCAATGCACAAGCGCACGATGTGACTACGACCACGAACTTTGTATCCACTTATCATGCCTCGCCTTCTCCCTTTCCTTTTTAGTTTGCGGGAAAACGTTTTCTGGTCTTTCTACAGAGGACTTTATTATTAAAGGCACATACATTTTAATCTCTATTATGAATGTGTAAGAAATTTATTCTCTTATTAAAGCAAAAGTTCTCAAACCTTGTCGGAAGTCGAACCGATCCTCACTGGATCCACCTTTTTTTCCGGCGCGGCGAACTTTCGACTGACATACTTCAACCTTTGAGACTTCGGAGCCTTCGGCTAATTACAAATGTTGGTTATACTCTAAAAATGAAATGCGTACGGGAATGCATTAATTGTGATTAATTACCATCTCACCTTTTCGGGGAATCGGTTACGCGCGTAAATTGGGAAAATCGGATCATGTGTCAAATTAGGATAAAAATTGATTATCGTTATCGACAAAAAATTCGAATTTCGACCTTTTTTTTTTTTTTTAAGGAAAGTTATGACCAGTTATTTACGCAGTCTCCTAAGAGCTACCAAATCCGTATTACAGACACCTCAGAAAAAGATCCTTCCACCTATAAACGATTCGGAATTACGTCAAACAGCATTGCAAGCTTATGGCCCGAAGTATGTCTCGAAGGAAAATAACCACTCTTTCACCCGACTGGCCTTGCTCGGCGACAGTCTTCTGGGTTATCATGGTCAAAATTTTTACTCTTTAAGAATCCTTATTGCGATACTTATCTCCCTAACATGATCTGCTGCCTTCCAATGAAACAACAAAACTCACGTCGATTTTGTTTTTTAAACCAATGGATATAGTGGCGCATCATTTACACGAAAAATTTCCATATTACAACAACGGTCAACTCTCGGCTTGTCGAGCGATGCTCGTTTGCAGTCATCAACTCAACTCTTTTGCTGTCGAGTGGGGTCTTGACCGTATGGTTAATGTCGACCTGAACCAAGCGAAAACAAATAACAGAATACTCGGTGAAGCTCTTGAGGCCTACATTGGTGCATACTATCTTGACGCATGCACGCTATACGGAGATAGTAATGGTCATGTGAAGGTGAGAGACCTGTGCATCGAGCTGGTCGACCCTTTGCTCGAGCAAATGATGAAAACGTGGAAAGTATGTTGAATATTTTATGTGTCGCGAGTATAGGAAAAAAAAAATATATTATGTGGGATAGATACTTCTTCAACACGATGCATTGTTCACGTGTTAATAATTGAATTGCGTGGGACCTGGGCGTTAACCGCTATCATTAATTCTCAAAATCAGATTCCTTTACATTCGTATTAACGAAGCAGTTCAGGAAAAGAAGTTACAGTTACGCCTACAGAGAATCGTGAGTTTCTCAGTTTAAATCCCGAATCAACAGATACTTTTAATTTACCCACGTGGCATTCACGATCGATTATAATAGAAGGGGGCGCATGCTGGAATTTCAGTAAATTCGCAAACTTCAAGTGCCGACAAAAAAAAAAGCGAGAAGAAGGCCGGGGCCTCCAGTGATAAGACAAAGGAAAAACCAAAGGACACCGTGTCAAAAGAATCGCAGAAAGTTACGGGAAAAGTTTTGTCGACTAAAAAGGAGAAGGTCAGCACGAGACAACCCGATACAAGCGTTAAATTGAAGGATTCAGGGAAGTCACCGAAGAAATCAGTTAAATCTGTGCAAGATGAAATATGTGAATCGGACAATACTGCGTCCGTAAAGTCCACCAAGATGCCCCAGGTTTCAACAAAGTCTTCTAAGTGCATACTGCCTATTAATACGCCGTCCGGCAAATCCGAATCTACCATGAATCCGGACAAATGTAAAGAAACAGCTAAGAAAAAGGAGAATTCTCAAGCAAAATCTCAGGCGGCAAAGAACGAATCGCCAAAGCTCTCTCGAGTATCAACAAAAGAACCATCGACCATTGCAGAACCTGCGCCAAAGGTACCTGTCACACAGAATATTAAAATAAAGTTACCTCGAAGATCTACGGGAGTTTCAAGTAATGTGACAGGTAAACGTAAGAATCCCCATTTACCAGATAGACCGATGACCGAATTTAAGGAGCTTACTACCCCCCAGCTTGCGCCTACGGTGGGAATGAGTACACCGGTGAAACTGAACAACGTGCCACACGACATTATAGCTTCACATTTTACAATAAAAAAACCTCGCCTCATTGTACCAACAATGGCGAGTTCCAAGTCATCAAATGTTCAACAAAAGTCCAAGGAAGTTAAAAAGGAACTTTTGAAGGTCAAGAAAGTTGCTAAGGTCGTTGCAGGTAACGAGCCCGTAAAACAAATAATCGCGAAAGCCAAAGGATCTGTTATAAAAGCATCGGCCATTCAAAGAATCAATGTAAACCGTTTAATTGAATTTTTATTCTTTGCGTTATTGGTCGCGGTCGAGGAACTAACGATGTCACTGTTTCTACCAACCCAGCTGAAGAAGAGGCAAGAAGATCTAAGTAAATTATCTATTCAGGAATTGTTACAAAGAATCAGGAAACTCGATTGATAGAAGTGTATCATAGGAATTCGGGGTTTTCGTTTTTTCTTTTTCGAATCAACCAAAAAAATTTAATGTCATCGATGGCAAATTTCGATATAAATGTTGCGTCGTTTGAACTTTTTGTATATCGTCGTCTCACTTTTGGCTGAAATATATCTGATTTTGTGGCAAAGTGAAGCGAGCATTAAACCTCAGTAGAGTTGTCACATACGTTGCAATATACCGGAGTTTTGGCACGAAAAATTTTTTTAAAAAATTTACTAGATTTTAGTGCTATTAATTTTATTAATTAATTCAATAGAACTAAAGCTTTATACGATAACTACAATGTTGTGATTATGGCAAATCTTTTTTAAATGCAATTTTCTAGTCGATAATTTTTTTTTTATGTCAAAGATTATAAAGATTATGCAACTGTTAATTCGGATGATTACAATGGTTAATTTTATTGGTCGGAAAAATTTGATTTCCATCACTTTCACTTCTACAGCGAAATCAAAGATTGACATATTTCCGTAGAATGTTCTAGAAACAACAATTGTTCTGAGCTTTTCGATTGAGCAATCACAGTATTTATGATCTCGCCCTCTCTCCTTCTCATCGTTCGATCTCCCCATAGTCAAAAATGAGTAATTGGAAAAACGTGAACAATTGGTGAGAAACCATCATTTCGAAATTTCTTTCCCGTGCCACCCTTTTTCCGTCTACTCAACTTTTCTGCACCATCTTTCTTTTTGACAGGCACTGGTACGAATCTCCCCTCTTATAGCGATCCCTGATTTCCAAGTTTCGCTTTGATGATGTCGGGATATCAATAATTCACTCTGTTTTTAACTAGGACCAGCAAAAACTGCCAAAAGTGGGCTCAAGAATATCTGAAAGAGAAGCTCGTCGGCCTTGAGGCTGAACATGATGGAATTGTCGTCAAAACGACGGAACTCTCAGAATGTTCAGGCGATGCCGACTTGAACCAGAGAAAGGGAAAACTGATCCCGTTGATTGATATGGTGATAGAGCTGAGGTGGTCTGGTAAGTACGAAAAAATTTTTTATTTAAGTCGTTTCACTTGTTTGTCTTAAAGTTTTTGTTGCATGGCGATATAGGCGTCGCGCCCGATGGTACTGAAGCCGTGGGAAAAATTCGCGTCCCAGAATTGTTAGGAGAGGACTGTGAGGTGAGATGATGTCGCTTATTACGATCCGATCTTTCGAAGTTATTATTAATACTCTTTACAGTTTGAGGTTAGCGTGGATGAAGAAACGTCTGCCAAAGAACCAATAAAGGAAGTAGTTCGGAATCACATAACTCCTTTGATGAGCGAGAAATTTAAAAATCTCGGAAAAGACATGGTAGAAAGTAGGTTGATTGTCTCTCATTTTCATATGATAACACATCAACATCGTTAACTTCCGCTGATTTACGCAGCTCATAGCAAGGATGTCTACATTGAGCCTTCTAAGCTCGGAACGTCGACTCCTCCTCGACCAATAACACCCATCGAATCGACCGGAGCTTCCATCGATCAAACTGTAAATCCAACTTCTTACCGCACAACTCCCAAGCCTACGAGCACCAATATCATCAACTCGACCACGATCACAGACACCGTTGAACTTCAAACCTCGGCAAACCAGGTATACGAGACCTTACTTGATCCAAGTCTTGTGGCCGCTTGGACGAGGTCAAGGCCCGATATCTTCAAGCACGTTGGAAGTTCATTTAGCTTGTTCGACGGAAATATCACTGGAACGATCGTGGAACTCGTGTGTATCTGACTTTATGCGCGTTGATCAATAATGTCATGGACAAGTGAACATAATCTTTCTGAAACACAATTATTTCTCCATCTAGACTCCAAATGAGAAGATTGTGCAAAAATGGCGCCTTAAAACTTGGCCCGAAGGTATATTTATTATTACTTCTGCGAGGAAACATTTTTAACCATTCGTCTATGCACATTGACAATATGAGCTCTCAAACATAGGTCATTTCTCAACGGTCACTCTAAAATTTGAGCAGACAAGCGATCGTACAATTGTCCACGTCACACAGGAAGGCGTTCCGGTCGGTGAGGAAGAAATCGTCCGTCGCAACTGGCAGTCCTATTATTGGAATTCAATTAAGAGTGTTTTCGGGTACGGATTAATCTCACAAAAACCTACAATTTCTACCAAATCTCGTAAGACTAAGCCTAGAAAAAAGCATAGTAGTGAGGGTAGTGGTGGTGGTGGTGGTTCGAACTATATATTTGTGGTGGCCATTGTACTGACTGCTATTGTTTTGGGGTTTGTGTTTTCATCACGTTCTTCTTCGTAGATATGGTGCACTTATATAATTCAGCCTGCAGGAAAACTTTAATTCAAGAAGATTGTCAATTAGGCGCGAAAAAAAAAAAAAAATGCTTTACCTTTGTGAGAAATCACTTCACAAGACGGGAGTAGTATTGATGCGATAGCGGCGGTGCCTGCCTTACCATTCTTGCCTGATCCATTACTTGTGTTTGTTCCTAAAATCTCCACAGATTAACTTTTGAATTCTCTTTTCAAGTCCACTTTTGTCCCCCCGAGCCCCCCCTACAGTTTCATCATTCGCGTGCCAACAGAAAAAATCCATAGACAAATTTTGATTTCGGTTTGCATTTTTTTTTTTTAGACTATTATTTCTATCCTTGTTTGCATTTAATTATAGAATCGTTTTTTTATTGTCAAAGGTGGCTAAAAACAATGCTACTCTTCGCTAAGACACTACTCTGATCGATCCTAAATATTAATTAAATTTACTATCCGGTATATGATCACATTATTTTCTTATTGTTCTTTTGAAGCTGTCTTCAAGATGATTGCACGAGAATGTTATGGTGATACGTATTTCAATATCCGCGAATGCTCATTGTTGTGCAGATACATATTCCTAGAACCAGAAAAAAGAAAACTCTTAAATGCCGATCAGAGGTGAAGATAAAAAAAAAAAAAAAAAAAAAAGTAAAGAATTGAAATTTACCCGAACTGCATCTCGAGTTTTACGTTTGAACAATTGTACTTGCTCCCAACAATCGAGGGTGCGTGAGCTATTATTTCTTTATGTTTCAGCAAGATTGGAATGCAGATATCTATTGTCAACATCAATTCTCGTAATCCAAATGAATGAGTGAATTGACTTACTTGTAACAAGAGATCACAGCTCGTTGGTGTTCAATCAATTCGGGTGAAATCTTATTCCCATATTTTCTATTAAAAACGAAAGAATTGAGATAAGTAACGGCGATACGATCCGATTTACTATTGATGATGTGTACCGTTCGACTCGCATGGTCAACTCTTCTATGTCACGTTCCGTCACGACCGCATTGGCTCCACTATCTTCAATGATTATTCTGTTTTGAAGAAGTTGTTCATTGGCGCGCCATTGAGTCTCCTCGTCCAGCTCTCTGATTCGGTTCAGTTCTTCTTCAACACGTGCACGAACGATTCTCTCTAGTTCTTCCGGTAGCATTGGCTCACTGGTATCGCGCTGCCGCGTCAAATGTGCCGAGGTCTTTCGTGCATTGTCTGATTGGAGTTTTTTCTGTCATGACGAATTAATCGATGTTGGAAAAACGAATTAACTTGTAAATTCAGGGATTCAACATTTGTAAGAAAAAAGACTGACCACTCGTTCCCTTTGTAATTGATCGACCAGGCTGTGTGAAAGCTGGAGGAAAGTCCTTTTTTTTAGATCGTCGCGGAAATTCTTCTGTAAGATGAGAATCGTTGAATGATATATTTACCCGAATTTGCGGCTCGTTGTATATGGTTATTTCTGACGGTGTTGACTGCTTGCCTCCCATGAGAAGGTTATCTACGTAAAAGTCGTTAATCACGTTTTATCATATCTTATGTTACACGGTAAAACTTTATAAATATCTACATCGGTGTTTGACTTTTTATTCGATGCAAGAAATGATCTCGAGTTCGGGAGGCAGATTAATAGCAAAGTTTTCTTTGCGTCCTTTCGGTTCCCTGCATTCGCACCCAGGAGGCCTTTCCAACAGCTGTTCAAAAATTATCCTTCAATCCTTTATCTCACGAGGTTTGACGACAAGTCCTGGTCACAAGCCAGGCCCAACTCTACAACTAAAAAAAGATGAACTTGACGATTTTTTGCCTCGCGAACGTCCCGAGTCTATTTCGTACTTCACAGCAAAACCTACATATAACGACTTACTCATACAGCTTAACGATCTCACATCGAAGTATAAAAACTTTCCGCGTACGAAACGCGACGAAAAAATTGTGACCCTATGGAAGCTAAAAAATCAGTTAGAAGTGGACTTACATTTGGGATTAAAGTTCAATCAATACGACCTGATAACCCAAAAGCTACATCACCTAGATGCGATTATTCCTGAATCAGCGCCCGAACTACATGATTTCCTAAGTTTATTTCGACGACAAGATCCCGAGAAGGCGAAAAAGGAATTGCAAGCAAATAAAAAGCTGGATGAATATCAAAGAGCATATAGCGTAGGAAAAAGGAAAGAAGCTGTTGCACACGTGTGGGTTGTAGAGGGTGAGGGACATGTGCTTATTAATGGTATACCCTTGGTGGACTATTTGGGTTCGTTGGAACTTCGCCAACGTGTCTTGATGCCGTTTCAAGTGACAAATCTGCTTGGCAAATATAATGTGTGGGTTAGAGTTCAAGGAGGTGGTAAATCCGGTATGTCTACTACTAGATTTCAGTTACCCTGGATGACAATTATCGAATAGACAGGTGTGATCCTTTATCGTGTTCCCAAGGTCAAGCTGGCGCAATTGCACATGGAATCACCAAATGCCTGCTCATACACGATCCCGAGCTTAAACCAATTATGCGACAAGGTACACCGGTGTTCTGCGATTTTCTCCGCGAATTTCTTTCTTTCTTTTTTTTTTTTTTTAATCACCGGATATTTTACTTTTATAAAAAGCTAAACTCGTCACGAGAGATCCTCGCAAGGTAGAACGAAAGAAGCCCGGTCTTGCAAAGGCAAGAAAGGCATACACATGGTACCGGTTGTTTCATTTTATAATACTGTCATTGACCAGGTGGACGTCTTAATTTAAACCTTTTATTTCAATTCAGGGTCAAACGTTGAAAAACTCACTAAAAGGTAATCATCGTGTTATATCGTTAAGGCATTCATTACCTCGCGCATCCAAGCCATTGAACGATTAGCAACGACGAGAATTTCTTTATTCCATATTTTTTTTTTTCTCGACTTTCGCGACCTTTAAAGTTGTATATATTCTTTATTATAGAGAAGGATCGTAAAACCTGGATACTAAATTGATTTATTATCCAATAATTAAAAATATTTATTCAGCAATTGTATAAACATGTTGGAGAATTGCACAGTGTCAAACTAAACTACAGTACTAGATTACATTTAAATTAATAAAAAAATCATACTGTATATTATATACAGTATACTGCATGTTAAACTTATGGTTAACAATATTTAAATGATTTGCAATAGATAATAAAATCAGTTTTAAATATTTTTGATGATACTTTAACAAATAAAATTTCGAACACGATTATCTTTACTAATATACTGTAAATATATATTTTTAATCTGCAACCTGTCATGGCCTATCTTTATTGAAACAATAAATAAATATCTACAATTTTTTTTTAATGGTTGGCTCAGCCAAGCTCAACTTTTTATTGAATTTTACATAATCATATACTGAGGGAGATACATTTACAAGAATATGATTTTCAAGAGTTATCTCTAAGACTAGCTCTCTAAGACTAGCCTAAGATCGATCTACCATGTGACTTGTGTCACTTCAATTATGAAGACCACACTTATAGAAAAAGGATAACTTTGCTATATCTATTTTGGTCCTAGTCAACAGTTTTCAAATAATACATCACAATTGAATATAAAAAGAGTTCTTTAAAAGAAAAAGATATTTACCATCTTTTAAAAATATAAAATAATATTTCTAGATCCATTAATTAGTAATGTTACAAAACAATTAAAGATTAAAAAATAGTTTAGAACACTTTTTGAAAATATATTTTCAAATAATATAAGCAAATTTTTTCTTAAGTTACAGAAAAATAAGACTTATTTAGAAATCTATTCAAAAATCTAGAATAAATTAAGTATAAAATTTAAATTAAAAAGATTTTTTCTAATTTAGATAAAAAAAAATTTATTAAAAAATTAAAATTAATTTCTTATGTTATATATGTAATAAAAAAAATTAAAACCTTAAATAATAATATTGTTTTTACTTAATATTAATTAAAAATAGATTTCTAAAGAGAAAAATAAGAACAAAAGTCAAATATTACTTATCAAAAAACAACTTACAATAGTTTTTTATAAAAATAAATAAAATTTTAAACATATAAATATATATAAAAACAATATAAGTAAAGTATTTCAAATCTTGAATAACAAATCATTTAAAATGTATAGTATACAAATGTTTAATAAAGCACACATATTTAGCCTGACCTAGGATTAAAAAAAAAAAAAAAAAAGTATTTCAAATCTTGAAAAAAATTTTAATAATATACAATAAAGATATTTACAAAAAGTTTTTACACTTATTTATTAATAAAATCTTAATACTTTTCTTAAAATAATTTGAAATATAACTTTAAGAATTATTTTTACTCTTTTCCTATTATTTATAAATCTCTTTATTCAAAAATTTAACTTTTAATAATCAAAAAAAATCAAGTAACACCTTTGATATCAATAATAAAAAAATTTTCAAAAAAAAAAAGAACTAATTATAAAGTACTTAAAGATCTATTTAATTTTTGAAATAAAATATTTATAGAGATTTTATATATTTAAAATTTTTATTTTTTTCTTTTTTAACTATTTTAATCTTTTTATTAACTGATATAAAATATATTCATTTATAAAAAAGTAAAAAAGTTTTTATTAATTATACATATATAATTTGATAATGTTAATAATAATTCAAAATAAAAATCTAAAAAAATATTTATTTTTAATTGAGTAAATTCATCAATAGAATAATTATAATATCAAAAAATATTGCAAAAAATAATATAAATAATTTGATTCTTCTTCTCATTTAAATTTCTTAAGTAATAAAAAGATTATTTTTTAAAAAAAAATTTAAAGTCTTCTATTTTTTTTTTTTTTTTTTTTTTTTTGAGGTAAAAAATACTAATAGCACATGTTTATTGAGTATTTTATATCAATTACATGACTACAACGATCCATCTAAGTTAACCTGCCTCCTTCACCTTAGCCTTACCTGGATATATCAACTTATACCCAGAAGGTGAGTCTGCATTTTAAGTTGGATCTTTAGGAGATGAAAATTCTACCACTAGTTTTAAACCACCTAATCTAATTTAGACCCTGGCATTTACCCCTTATTAGGACTCACGTTAACCTTTTATACCTTACCACCTCTTAATCACGCCTTTGGTCCATATAGCTGCGAATGAATCTTAGTGCATCTGTGTACTGCCTAGTCAATGTTTTGTGAATTTCGTCCAATAATTGGTACATGCTACCAAACCTAGGGATTATTCACCAATAGGGATGCGACTCCTGAATTTCCTAGTAGACTTATCCATCAGGTTCTTGATTGGCATTAGCTGCCAAATCTAGGGGTTACTCATCAAGCAGAGCACAACTCTTATACAGGGATAATACTGGTGAATCACTGACATCGCACATTAATGTCTATCGACGATCCCTGAGAAGCTTAGTACTTCGTGTTAATGATCTTGGTGATCATTATGCATCTATTGGATGATCATCACGCCACTTCATCAAGTCTTCTATTTTTTTTAAAATATCTTAATCTGATACTTATTTAAAAAATAGATCTATCTGTGATAATACAAATAATAATAAAGAAAAATCACTTTTAAAGTTCAAGTAAAGCATAATTAATATTTTAATTAGATAAAAAACTTTTTTAAAAAAAGTCATTAAATAAACAAAAAAATCTTTTAAAGATACTTTTAATTGTTTTCTTTTTTCTTTTTTTCTAATTATTTTAACAATTTATTATTTTTCAAAATAATCAATAATAATAAACTATTAATAATAATCTTGATAATTTAAAAATTCTGATATCAAACTATTGATAAAATATAATATTGTTCTTTAAATTTGACTTAAAGTATTTAATTGAAACTTAGTTTTGTTTAGTTCAAATTAGTTTAGTGAACTTTTCATATTTTTTAAATAATATGAATTCTTCAATTAATAATTTATAATAACAAGTTAATTGTTTTATAATAGTTTATAAAATATTTTGATATTTTTTTTATCAATAATACTCTTTTTAATAATTCTCTAACTATACACAAGAAAGATATTTATAAGAAGTTCTTTTATTTTTTTACTAATAAAATCTTAATACTTTTTTTAAGCTAACCTGAAATTTATCTTTAGAAAGTACCTCTATCCTTTCTTTTTTGTTTACAATTCTCTTCAAGTAAAAGCTAAATCTCTTGTGACTTGCAAAAGTCAAGTAACACCTTTTATACCAAAGATAAAAAAGTCCAGAAAAGAAAAAAAACTGATATGCAACCATCTCACACTATAGAGAAACATTATAGAACGGTTCTTGTGAGGATAAATAACATATTCATTCTCTTGTCACTATACTGTACTCTAATAATACTCTTTCTGGATTTTTTCTGAAGAATTTTGCCTATCTCAGTTTAACCCTGAATTTTGAGTAGTACAAAGTTTCTTACACCAAAATTTTTATATCAATAAAAGATATAAACAAGCTCTTATTAGTCACTTCATATGATCCAATGTATTTTCTTAGATTTATAAAAATTTAAAGTCCATTGTAAATTATTTCAATTGATATAAATAAATAAGAATATCATTAACTCTTATATCTTTGGCTAAATAAAAAAAAAAAACATATCCTTCCTTCTTCTCTATTAAGAATAAAGAATGAAGACAAGGTTCAAAGAAATACAGAATGAAGATAATGTTTTAAAAGTGTCATATCTATTCTTTATTAATATGAATATTTGAATATTGGAAGATTAAGAAGATTTTAGAATTATTTGCATCTAATTATCAATATCAATATATAATCAAACATCTAACTCTTTCTACTGATCCTCTGACCACATACAAAAAAAACGTTCGCAAGAAGTTTTTATACTTCTGGACTAATAAAGTCTTACCACTTTCTTTAAACCAACTTGAAAAAGCTTCAAG